GAAAAAACCTTTTTTCTATATTTTTTGCGATGTTGCTTTGACCAGGGTTTGAACCCAGGTGCTGATGAGTGAAAGCTCGCACTGCTTACCTCTACACCACAGCGGCCGACAGATCTTTTATCCTGGACAAAAAAATCCCCCGTATTACATATACAGGCCAATTCTGAACAGAAGCTCCCTGGGAGTTTTCTCTCTTTTCCCTTTCCTCCTATTATGAAAAAAAAGTTTTCGGGGAAAATGCTATTCCCTGGGAGTTAACTATTAGAGGATTTCTTTCTCGTGAGAAACAAATTCCCGGAGAACAAATTCCCCGGAAATATTAAGAATTTGGCTGATATAGATTATTTCAAAATTTAGATTTTGTGGGAAAACGCAATCAAAGTTTGATCAACTAATTCAGTTGGTATACCAAAAGATAGATGGAAAGACACCCATCTACGCCACTTTTGGGAAGGTTGGTCATCTGCTAGGCTGAACATACATATTCTTCTTATCAAGCTTAGGTTAGGTTAGGTTATCCTGGCTGCCCTCATCCGCGCAGGAAAGGGCACACTTAGGCCTCCATGGGCCTATTGTGATACCATATTTGAGACTCATACGTCCCTCGTCCTACCTCAGAAATTTAACCAATTTGTAGCTCTGATAAAGCGCACAAAATCGTAGATACTGGCCGAGTCCAGTTCAGCCAGACACTCGAAAGAATAGCGAAGGAGCGAGCGTCGACGGGCTCTTGCCAAGGCGGGACAGTGGCACAGGTAGTGCTCCAAGCTCTCGATCTCCTCCTCATCGCGGCAGCTACGACAGTAGTCGTTTGGCTGCAGACCCATCCTGGCAGCGTGGGTTCCCATAAGGCAGTGCCCGGTGAGAATTCCGATAACATGGCGGAGCATTGGTCGCTCCAAACGAAAGCTTATCAAGCTTATAAATTTTAAGATCAAATCACCAAAAACGTAAATTTTGAATTACTCTCTATATTATTAAACGTGCGATATGCCCACATGCATTCTTTTGTTGTTGCCTTTTTATTTTAACACATTCTGCTGTTCAGGCACCCCTTCTCTTGGGGTGAAAGTATACTTCACCATACCAATTCAGAAAGAAGCAATGTCTCACTCGCGTAATAATGCAAGGAAAGCTCATTAAGGGTGGTTTATTGCCCCTTCATTGGAAAGCTATACAACTAAACATCCATATATACATCCTTGTTAAGACTTTGTCTGTATTCACATTAGGGATGTTAATCCCGGGAGTTTCGGGATTCGTAATATGCACTAATGGCAATAATAGAAACTCCATTTCTTGACCAGAATTGGCTATATTTATTTTTTTTTTAATTAATGATTAATATTTTTTTCATAAATGTCTAGCTCACTATACATGTAACACCGTGCGATAGTAAATTTCACACACAAAAAATCAATATATTCGCGAAACCATGGGCCAACCCTGCAAAAATCGCGACTACTCCATGCATGCATGTAAAGAGTACTC